CCTTCGGATTGGTGGCTGTGTTACTAGGGAAAGTGCCTGAAGTTCTATCAGCAACTTGCTTAGCCAGCTGGCCAATTTGATTCTCCAAATTCCTGATAGAAGCACTCATGTTTTTAGTATTGGCCCGAGTCTCTTCCATGAAGGAATTGGAGTATCGAGCCATTTGCCCAACTAACCTCTCCAAATCAGAAGGTTCCTTGTTTTGGATTGGTGGAGGCTACAGATAATTGTTAGAACTATAATCAAGACCACCTCCTTGACCTTTCCTCTGAAAATTGCTACTTCCATAAGGAAAATTCTGATTTCTTGGAATATTTTGTGGTGGAGGTCTTTGATCATACCAAACGCCATTCACATGTACTTGTTGAGGTGAATCAGAAGGCATCAAAGGACATTCATTAGACTCATGATTGTCCTGGAAATATTCACACATAACAGCAGCAGCTTTAGTCTGAACACCAGCAAGCTACATCTTGTCAAGCCTTGAGGTCAAGTTTGCTATCTGCTGAGATAACAAATTATTTTCAGCCAGCACCGCATCATTACCTTCCAGTTGAAGGATACCTCTCTTAGGCTTGGATGACAGCACTTCATTTCATTGGCAGCCATCCTCTCAATCAACTCAAGAATCTCATTTGCTTTCAGAGTTTTAATAGTGCCACCTGCTGCACCATTCAACACCATCCGAATCTCAGGCTTGCAACCATTGAAAAAGATTCTCACCTGATTACCAGCAGTCAAGTTATATTGAGGACACCTCCTCATTAGATCCTTGAATCTGTTCCATGTTCCACACATAGTTTCACCCTGTAACTGAGTGAAATTGGTGATATCATTCACCATCTGGTTGTACCTCTCCATCGAGAAGAACTCAGCAAAGAACTTCTGAGACATATCATCCCATATAGAAATGCTTGCTGCAGGCTGCCTTTCCAACCAACTCAGAGCCTTTCCCTTAAGAGAAAAAGGGAACAACCTCAACCGGATTGCATCATTCAACACCTGAGGGTGTTTGGTTGAGTCACAGATCCTCAAGAATCTGTCAATAAATCGGTGAGGATCTTCACTCTCCTCTCCTCCAAACTGAGCTCTCTCCACCAATTGAATATGAGAGGACTTGAGCTCCCAATTGTTGGCAACATTTGGCTGAACAATACTCGCATTGAGCCTATTGAATGATGGAGTTAGAATGGTATCCCTGAGCGGTTGTCCGCTTCATCGTTTTCTGCCATCTTGTGTGCTTCTTCAGACAGAATTCCTAACTCGTTGAATGCAAGCTTCTTCCGAACAAGTTTTCTGTTCCTCTTTTTTGTTTTTGTAATCTCCAAATCAAGTGGAAATTCTGGCTCTTTTCTTCGCATACAACTCAGAAAAGAGATTAGTAGCACTGTTCAAGAATCACAGAGAAATCAAAAATAAAATAAAATAAAAATCCAATCTTAAAAATCAAAATTAATTGATATAAGAAACGCCAATCCCCGACAACGGCGCCAAAAACTTGATGCTTCCCGGCAAGTGTACCGATCGCACAAGTAATATAATGATAAGAAAAATTCGTCTCCACAGGGATTGTGATCGTATATCAATTAATAGTCTTTTCAAGAATGGAGGAGTTCAAAGAGTTTGTGACAAATATTGTCGATTTGTGTAAAATGAGAACTGAAAATAAAGACTTGTTTTTGAATTTTTATATTGAAGAATAAAAATAAGAACGAATATTGATTTTTGTGAATAAGAGAAAAGCATTGTAGCTAGAGTACACTCACCATATGATCCCCACTTCTTACTTTAGATTGATTTATCATACTCAATTATATAATTACTCAGATAAATTATTATCTAAAAATATTAATAGTTAACCCTCAATTCCTTGCAAGGTTAACCCTTTAATCCCAATTGAAACCCCAATTCCTTGCAATGTTTCTCATGGCATTAAGCACTGAACTCAATAATTTAAGCATATGCAATTAAACATACATTTATTCCTAGCATGCATACTAATTGTTATCTTACCCCCTTTCAAGATCAAAACCTCAATATTCCTATTTAGGGTTCTAACCCCAAAACTATCCTCAACTACTAGATTGATCAATTCCAATAAGGAGAATATAATTACGCACAAGGTAAAGATAAAGATAATTTATATAAACGAGAAATTATAAGTCAATCCGTCGTAACAAGGATTCACATAGGGTTGTGACCCTAACTACAATAAAAATAAACTAGCCAACCATAATCATGGCTAAAAATCCAATATTCATAAAACCTGGTAAATTAATAGAGAAAGAAGAAGAAGAAGTCGATCTCTGGATCCTTTCTAAGCACCGCCGTCGTCTCTTTTCAATAGAACAGGTCTGTATCCTAATTCTGTAAAAGGCATCATATTTATATGTCTCTTTTCCTTCTTCCAAAAATATCCTTCACAACACAGTGTAATTTTCCCGCAAACCGGCGCCAGTTGGCGCCGGTTTGGCGCCACTTAGCGCCACGCCTCTGTCTATTTTGCAAAAGTCAGAACCGATTTCTCGTACCTAGCTTCAATATTGGCACCACCTTGCTCCAAAATTGGCGCCACCTTGCTTCAACATCGGCGCCACCTTAGCTTCACTTTTTGGGAAACTGGCGCCAGTTGGCGCCACTTGCAAAGTACCGCTGTGAAGTTCATAAACTGGTGCTGGTTTGCGCCATGTTGCTGGAAATTATACTGTGATACACCCGTGTGGAGTCGCATCAACAGACTTTTTATAATTTGTAATTTTCACTCCTTTTTCCTGTATAAACACAACCAATAGGTGAGAAATATTATTGACATAGACAGAATCAATATAATAAGCAAATATGTATATAAGTTGCTCTTTTATGAATCGATTCTTATCAATTTTAACACAGAAAACTACACCTGCTAGAGGCACATCAGAAAACCTAAAAATGATTGTGGAAATAATAGCTTGAATAATGATAATAGCAAGAAAGCCAAAAATTTGAAAGTTGAGCTTGAAAAGAAATTTTTTTTTTCAGTTATTAAATCCCTTTTTTTTACCAAGTTCAATGTTAATAAGATTAATAAATCTTTACATGTTTCGAAGTAACAATACATTTTTATTATTGGTTCACAATCAATAACATCCTCACCATCCAGAGTAACAATAAGTCTAAGAACACCATGTATTGATGGGGAACGAATTCACCGCCGTATGGCTGACCGGCGATTACTAGCGATTCCGGCTTCATGCAGGCGAGTTGCAGCCTACAATCCGAACTGAGGACGGGTTTTTGAAGTTAGCTCCCCCTCGCGGGATCGCGATCCTTTGTCCCGGCCATTGTAAAGTTATCTTGCAAAGACATTGTATGTAATTATTGTGGTAAAGTAGGACATATTTCTCATTTGTGCTATCATAGAAGAAATTCTTATATGAGAAACAAGTTGGTTTGGGTTGTCAAAACTTCTATAAATGTTATTCCCAACGCTCAAGGACCCAAGAAGAAATGGGTACCCAAAAGTCCTCCTAGCTTCTCCAATGCGCAGAAAATTATTCAAAATGATGGACAAAAATATCAAGAGAAAAAGGAATCAGCAAGGAAAATGCTTACTAGGCCCAATTATGGAATTATCAATCGAAGAAGTAATGGAACTTCAGCCAAAGCTTCTCACATGCGCAAGGTGGAACCTAGAAGGTTCAAAATCCAAAGAGAGAAGCAATAGGTCAGAAAAAGTCTCCACTTGATTACAAGGGCCAAGGTATCAAATATCGTTACCTCTTATGCTTATTCACATGTGAATCCAATGAATATGAGGTATATATCTTTTAGGCCTTAGGTAATGGATAAAATTATATGTTCTTGGTTTAAATGTTGAAAATTATGAATAGAATATGATTATATATATTGTTGTTCACTTATATATTGATTTCTGACACATCTAAATTGTTTTACGCATATCTTGAGTTACATAAATCATTTTTAAGTGAAACCGGTGGCCATTGAAAGATAACTTGATAAACTTTAATTTTGAAAATTTTCATAATTTTTAGTCAAGTATAATGCTCCCAGAAATCTCGTTAACATAGCTGTTTTGTCATAAACTCTGTTACAGACTAGTTTACTTAAAATGAGCATAACTTGAGCTATACAAATCCTTTGAGCATGAAACCAGTGGCATTACAAAGATAGCTCAATAAGTTTAATACTGGAAATTTTTAGAATTTTTGGATGTGTACATTGTTCCAGTAAATTCGTGGATGTGACTGTTTTGTTAAATACTCTATTTCAATGCAACAAATTTAACTGATCATATCTTGAGCTATAGAACTCCGATTGACATGATCTATATCTTGTTAGAAAGCTTGAGATGTGTACTATAACATATTCAAAATTCAGAAAATCTGGATTTCAAAGTAAGAGCTTTTAGTTTTCAGCTTTTTCCTTCATTATAAAAAAAAAAGCTTTTCATTGTAAGAGCTTTTCACAAAATCTGTTTGGCATAGCTTATGCTTATAAGTGGTTTCTAGCTTAAAAAATAGATGATCCAAATAGGCACTAAAAAAATAAAAAAGAGAGCAAACCAAAAAGTGTATTTCAAAGTATTTTTATTTTCTTGCTTCAATTCCTAATATGTATGAATGAACAATCAAATTTTGGAGAATACATCTGACATCTAGACCAAAAAAAAAAAAGCACGTGAATCGATGGATCAGTAGAAATTTGTCCTCCTCTTACACAGCATGAGAACTTCGTTACCCTATATTATTTCTCCAAAGCCAAAGGGAGCGGATCCTCTCATGTGGAAAAATGTATAATTTTTAAATTAGTGGTTGTGATCAAATGACATGACCACTTTTTCACATTGGATCCTCTCATGTGAAAAAGTGGCCATTAATAATGAGATACGAGAAAGAAAAATGTATAATTTTCAAATGAGTGATTGTGATCAAATGACATGACCACATATCCACTTTTCCAGAATCCACTCCGGTCAAAGGGATAAGTAGCCACTAATCACTAGTTGACTTGTGACTACTCTCCCCCAAGATGGAAGGAACAATAGTACTGTATCCAGCTCCAAGCATAGGTCACATAGTGTCAATGGTTGAATTAGCCAAACATCTCCTCCAACACCAACAATGCAACACCACTATCCTCCTCACCACCGGCCTCCTCGACCACCCTTCCACCGACGCCTACATCCGCCGCATCTCCACTTCCCACCCTTCCGTCTCCTTCATCCGCTTCCCCCTCGTCGCCTTCAACACCGCCGGAACCCACAGCTTCGCCGCCAGGGCCTGCCAATTCATCCGAGAAAACGCCGCCAACGTCACTTCCACCCTCAAAAACATCTCCCAAACGTCAACAACCACAGTCAAAGCCTTCGTGATCGACCTGTTCTGCGCGTCGGCGATGGAATCAGCCACCGCCATGGGAATCCCAGTGTACTACTTCTTCACTTCAGGTGCTGGCGTTCTTGCACTTTTCTCTTACTTTCCCAGAATCCACGAGATTCTGCCTCCCAAATCGTTGAAGGACATGGCGGAGGTGGAGATTCGAGTCCCCGGTGATTCGCCGCCGCCGCCGCTGAAGGCGTTGGACATGCCGGAGCCGATGTTGGATAGGGACGACCCTGCATATTGGGATATGTTGTATTTCTGCTCACACATTCAAAAATCAAATGGAATAATAGTGAACACCTTTGAAGCGCTTGAACCTGTGGCGGTTAAGGCCATAGCAGAGGGTTTGTGTTTTCCAGAACCCAATGAAGCTCCTCCTGTTTACTGTGTTGGACCCTTCGTAGCGGACCCACAACATTCAGGTTAGCTATTCTTTTCCTTTCTTTTATTTTTATTTTTTTTCTTTATGTAGTAATTAGAAAATTTTATGTACTTTAGTAGTAGACTAGTACCCTTACAAAATAATTCATTTTCCAAAATAGGGAGTTCTTATTTTATTACAAGGTGTAGATGATTTTTTTTTATACCGTGTAAATGATTTTTCTTTCGGTCCTAAGTAACTTCATAATATGTTTTTGGGAATATATTTATGCTAGATAATTTTATCACAAAAAAAAAATAGGTGAAACTCGCGAAAGAATAAAGAAAAAGTGAGTTTTACCCACTTTTATGTGTGCGCAAATGAAACAAAATTATTTCATGTGATATGAAAAACATATTTTTCTACAAACATAGGGAATTTTTTTGTTTTTGTTGTTGCATGAGACAAAATTATTTCTTACGAAATGATAAAGATATTCCCCGTTAAATTATGATACATTTAAGATGCGTTTTAGTTACATCCTTTTGAAAAATATTTAATTCTTTTAAATATTTTTATTTTTCTTAGAAACAGGAGATTCATTATTTTTTTGAATTTAAGTGCTGTGATTGGGCTGAATTAGAGCTCAAGGCTATATCTGAGTTGATAAACTTTGGAGCATGTGGCTTTTGCCGGGTTGAATTAGAGCTTGAGGCCGTTGGTCGAGCTGTTTAGTTGAAAGTCAATGCCGGGACTGATCTATTGAACTTTGAACCCTTGATTGTGCTGAGTTGAATCTCAAGACCGTGGTTGAGTTGTTGAACTTGGAGCCCTTGACCGGGATCGAGTCCATGGCCGAGCTAATGACTTCGAGCCCTTGGCCAGGCTGAGTTAAAGCTCTAGGACGGTACCAAGCTGATGTATTTGAAGCCTTTTGTCGGGCTGAGTTGAAGCTCGAGGCCTTGGCCGAGCTACACCTTGGAGCTCTCGGCCGGGCCACCTTCCTTTTATGAATGGTTTGATTAGGTGGATTATCCTCCAAAAAGCTCATGTATGCTTTTTTTACTAATTCTTATGACACTTTTGCTTCAAGCAACGTAGCATCGAGCCCTCTGACCTTTTCTTTTTTCTTTTTACTCTGGGAATCTCTTCCGAAGAACCTTTATACAGTCCTTGGCAACATAAAGACATTGACAATCCATAGCTGCAATTGCGAAGTTCACTCATCAGGTGGTTTTCAATGTTCGCTGTTGTGCTTCAAGTGTTCATCATGACTGGGTGGGGATCGAAGTCTACCGATTCCCACAGACAACACCAATATTCGTTCTTGGAGGATCGATATGTCCAACAGAAGGTTGGTATTTGTATCTTGGATAGGTACACTCGTGAAAGTCTATGAAAGAGACACCGCAAGGGGTAACGGACTAGTGTGCACAATAATAATACTGGCATATAACCAAAAGCATATGGTGTGTACACAGTGATAGGCAAGAGAAAAGAGAATTTAAGTATGTAGCTGAGAGGCTTAACCCTTTATTTATAGAAGGGGTTAACTGTAAGTGCAGAGGATTGTGATTGTTGGGGGATAGAATAAGTAGTTTATCCTTTATCCATAGATAACAAAATTATGGGATTTTCCTTATCTCTTCAATCTATCACTTGTTGTTAAGATATGGCCCATGGAAAGGGTCCAGAAAACACACACACACACACACACACACACACACACAGATATATATATATATATATATATATATATATTGGTATATATCATTCAATCATTAACCATTATCTCTATATTAAAAAAACAGATGCAGCAGCGGATAGTAAATATTGCTTGTCATGGCTTGATGAACAACCGAGTAGAAGCGTGGTGTTCCTCTGTTTTGGAAGCCGTGGATCATTCACAGTGGCTCAGTTGAATGAGATAGCTTTTGGGTTAGAGAGAAGTGGACACAGATTCTTGTGGGTTGTGAAAAGGCCAACACACAATGAGGGAACGAAGCAGATTCATGACACAACAGGGGAATTCGATTTGAGTTCAGTGTTGCCAAGTGGGTTTATGGAGAGAACCAAAGAGAGAGGCCTTGTGGTGAGTTCATGGGCCCCACAAGTTGAAGTACTGAGTCATGAATCGGTGGGTGGGTTTGTGAGTCACTGTGGTTGGAACTCAGTGCTCGAAGGGGTTGTTGCTGGGGTGCCAATGATTGCTTGGCCGTTGTATTCTGAGCAGCACGTGAATAGGAACATCATGGTGAAGGAGATGAAGGTGGCTGTTGGGGTTGAGCAGAGGGAAGGAGATGGGTTTGTGAGTGGTGAGGACGTGGAGAAAAGGGTGAAGGAGTTGATGGAGTCAAAGAGAGGGAGAGAGATAAGAGAGACAAGTTTAAAGATGAAAGATATGGCTGTGGCTGCTGTTGGAGAATCTGGGTCATCCACAAAAGCACTTGCCAAGTTGGTTCAAACATGGAAAGGAATCAGTAACTAATGCCAATTGGATGTTCAATTTCTTCCAAAGTGTATTGTGATTAGTATTCTGCTCATTTGTCCCTTGTGTAAGGTAAACTTTGCATATGAATATATCTATATTTTTGGTTGCTCATTAGTCCCTTGATTTATGCTGGTTAGTTTTGGATCCTTGTTTGTTATGGTACTTGTGTAAGGTGAATTTTATAAAGAATCAATCAAACCCAAAATCATAACCTGTTGGGTGAGGCTAATGACACTATATAAAGAATTAATTTAATCCAAAAGCTTAAGCTGTTAGACGAGATAATGATTTTATATTTCTCTAACAAATTTTGCATTCGTTTTCTTAAAAAAGAAATAAAATGTGGAGTTTAATTGGTTTCTTAGTAATCTATTGTTATGATGTAGTTGGTTTAATTTACAAGTATATTGTGATCAGTACTGGTCCTTGCTTATTTTCTGTTGATTGGTCTTAGTCCCTTGCTTGTTTGTTATGGCATTAGTGTAAGGTTTGCATCTCTTTTTAACTGGAATGGGTAGGGTTATTAGAGACTCCCACTAGCAATTTGTGTGTGGCTTTCCTGGCTTCATAGGCATATAAAACCTCAATCTACAAGCTGAATTTTTGGGGTTCTTTTTCTTGGTCTTAGACTCTATTTCGACTCTGATCAACTTTGCAAGGATCGAAGTTGGAATAGATTTCTTATACTGTTAATAATATTCAGGATTATTAGGCAGCAGGACTGGGAAGTTTATCTTCAATATATACTTAGGACCACTTCACCACCTAGGACAGTGCGATTCCACTTCATCTTTTTCATTATTTGATCATCTTCATGTCACCCACTCTTTGAGAACGGTTGATGTTTAGTGCGTGAAAGCTCTAAACTCATGGAGGCCAAGGCATTTCACGCAAGTGCTTACTGGGTGATAGGCCAGACAATGGACATGGTGCTTACTTAAGTAGTCTAGGTGTCTTTTTTTTTTTTTTTTTTTTGGTTCCAAGGGGTGTTCCCACCCATTTGGATGAGACTAATTAATTCCCTTCATAATGTAAAACGTAAAGGTTTTTATCACCGGCTCCAAATTGCTTCATCTAGGAATCCAACGACTGACCTTTTAGCCATTTAATAGTCTAGGAGTCTTTATACATGTAGAATTATGTACACAAAATGTAGATCTCTTTGGCCAGTATAGAGAATTCTAAAATTTTCTTGGACAGTCTAAATATCACATATGCCTACCCTTTTTCATGTATATTTTATATATTTCTTTATAATATTGTTAGATCAAAATCTCAATATATAATAAGAAGAGAGAAAAAAAGTGAAGGTTGGTTGAGATTGTAATCTAATTAATATTGTTGGAGACAAGTAAATAAAATAGACATGAAAAGGTAGGTATAATATCATATCTCCTAAATATCTAGATATTTTAAACAAGAATTATAGTAAATATTGGAGGAGAAAGCTTATAAGACAAAATATTGGAGGACACATGTTCCTTTGAGTTTTTATTTTTTTATAATTATAAGGAAAATGTAATTTGCTTCAGTTATCTTTACTCTTTAGCCTAACTTTTATGAAAATCTATTTTTGTAAAAGTTATTTTCGTTTTTGGATAACTCACTTTTATGAAAATTAATAGTAAATTATTTCAATTTTTTTTACTATTAAGTTTTTTAAAAAGGATTTAGACAATAATTTAGGATTTTTTTTATAAAATTAAAAAAAGGGCATATGCTTTTTAAAGTTATTTTAGATAATTTTATTTAATATTCATTAAAATATACACATAAAAAAATGTGATGTCTATGTTTTCTTTTTCTCTTTTATCTTCATATGATCCATATGGACCTCACACATTTTTTTTTTTTGGAGGTTAACCTCACACATTTATATATATATATATATATATATATATATATATATATATATATATATATATATATAGACAAACATTAGATAAAGTTATTTAAAATAACTTCAAAAATGTTAAACCCTTTATGACTTTAATGTTTCTGTAGTGAATATAAATAAGATATCTACATTCACTCTCAAAACGACGTTGTTTTGGGTTGAAAAATTAAAAAATTATAACGAAAAAGACTATTATAACCTTAAAATAAATTATAATTACAAAAATATTTTGATTTTCATCTTAAAACGACGTCATTTTAGGTTCAATATAGATAACTTATCTATATTGACCGTAGAAAAAACGAACCTTATATTCATTAACTAGGTATCCATTCCTGAAGTAGCTCATTTAAATTAAGAGAAGGAAAAAAATTTAGACTAATAAGCTTTTGCCTCTGGTGATTTGAAATTAAATTTTAATTAAAAATGAAAAGCTTTTGGCTCTGTTGATTTGAAATTAAATTTTAATTAAAAATGAAAAGATAAACCAATTAATAATCAAATTTATACATAAGATAACTACAATTAATGTCTGTCTAGGTTCAATTAATCTCAATCAAATTATTATTATTATTATTATTATCTATATTAGTGTAAAAAATTCTAGAAATTTCTTGAATCATATAAATATCTAGATATTTTAGAGGAAGATTCCAGAAATTCTCTCTTCATCATAGAATCAAATCAATTTTATTAAGAAGGTGAAAGCCTATAAATAGGGAGTACCCAATTTTTTAAACAATTAAGAGATAATGATAAGCTTAGAAAAAGACTAATAAACAAAAATTGAGATGGAAAAAATGCTCCAAGAAATGAGAAAGGAAAATAAAAATTGTGAAGTAGAGATTTAAGAGGGTAGTAATCTTAAAAAAAAAAAAAATTAAAAAAAACTCTATAAAAAATAGAGTGCAAGTGAGCAAAAGTCATAGCTCTGCAGGGGGGACACAACAGCTCCATATCAACAGGAATGTTATAGATTATTAACACAAAAAGGTTACTTTATTATTAATTTTTTAAAATTTATTAGAATTAATAATGGATGATTATTTACTATGTAATAGGTAATGGGGCTAGGGGCTGAAAGGGTGCGCCCTACTACACTATTTGCCAGCTTCACAAATGAAATGAGTAATGTTTTAACATTGATTTGATTTCCCCCCTACTAAATTAGTGATAAATGGGTCAACCAAAAAGGGATGAACTTGTTGCAATGATTCAAAGAATATAAGGACAAACCTCCACAATAATATTTTCAGAAAAAATTCCAGAATTCAAAAGAGCAACAAATACCGGCTGAGATTCGATAATCAGATTTCATGTTTTGTAAATTACAGACTCAACCTTATTATTTTTATTATTTATAAAAAAAAAAAAACAATTGTCTGTTAACGTATTTGATTATTTATAGCCTTTGATAGAAAGAGAGAGGAAAAAATGACGTAAAATGATGTTTTTTTCACACTAAATTCCATAACCACACCAATTCACAGTCTTTATATTTGGCAAAAAATGCGCTGCCTTACATCATGAGAAGGAGAAAAGTTACTATGCTCCCGGTACAATGCACCTTTTTTTAAAAATAGAAAAAAACTAAGACATGGAAGGAAATATCTAAAATGATAAGGATAAAAGTGTCTTAAAAAATTTCTTGTTTTGGAAAATGGAACCGTGAATGATGGTGTACGGGGTGCATATTAACTTTTCTCCGGGAGAAGAGAGGTAGAGAATGTAACATCCCAACATCCGCATTCATAGGCATAAAACCCGGAAACTTTAGCTCTAACAATTAAGCATAAATTCAAAGGAAAAAGTGTATGTCATTTTAAAGGATGTAAAGTTATGTCATTTTAAAAGAGAAAAAGAAATAGATAAAGGAGGAGAGAGAGTTGAAAAAAAATAAAGCTATAAATCAAATCTTTATGAAAGTGAAATGATATAAATCGTGTAGGATAAACACATTCTCCCAAGTTCAAATGAAAGACTTAATTCTATGTAGACTAGCTTATAACGTCCATTTCGAGTCTGGAATAAGTGTTTTAAGCAAAAGACAAAAGCAGAAAAAACACAGAATTGAAAGTACAGTACCTTACTTAAAATATCTTTTTTTTTTTCTAGCGGTCCAAAGATGTTGAGTGGCCAAAGGATTTGAAATATCTTTAATACAAGATTGGAAATCATCAAATAGACCAATTTTGCACTCACCAACAAGTGTTTAACAAAGATGAACTTTTTTCTATTAAGAAATCAACATCAAAGTTACCTTTATTCCGATTTCATTCGGGTCAGCAAAATCCATATAAAAGCAAGAATTTTAGTAAAACTAAAGCATAAAAATTTACAACTAAATAATCAGCAGCAAACGATGTCTTCACTATAATGATAGATCAAATATAAATTCTAGATCAGCAACGAATATCAGTAGTTGCCTTATGCATTAGTCTTATAATCAGCTTGTCAACGGCTCAAGACTTGTCTTGCTTTAAATTTAGCTTGACTTGACTTGTTTAATAAATAAAACTGGCTCAAGCTTTAAAAAAAGCTTGTTTAGCAAACAAGCCTATGCCTAATTTAATGAGGCTTGGCTTGAAAGTCAGTGAACTAACCCAATATATTATTGTAATAAATAATATATTTTTATGTCACTAAATCATTAACCTTATTTTTTAACTCTTGTCTTTAACTCTACAAGCAACTGACCAAACTCAGGTACTCTTTCTCTATTCTTCTTTGAAGATTATAATATAATAAGCTTTGGAGTATGGAGAGCTTATTCTATTAGCAATGAAGTCGTCACAGGTTTAAGAAGAAATTTTAAAGGTTAGTCTATATTACATACTTTTCTTAAAATATTCTTCCTCACATTCTCTATTTCTTGAGCTAGATCAATGTATAAGAAGACATTGTGGAACTCATTATTCGATCTTAAAATATATGTGGGCTGAGTGAGTTCAATGATTATTTTTTCTCGAGTGAGTTCTATGATTGTTTTTTCTCTGACAACGGAATACATAATTTGATGCATTTATAATCTTAACATTTGAACCTATGCGAGTTTAAAAAAAATACATTTTATAATTATAAATAAGTCAAGCCAATCCTTTAATTTTTTATAAACGAGCTAAGCTAAGTCTAGAATTTAGCTCGTACCAAGTTAATGAGCTAAGTCAAGCTCAAAATATTTTTCATAAGTTTGGCTCGTTTAAGCTAAAGCTTGACTCAGTTCAACTCAATTAGTACTTATAATTATAGAATCAGTAAATGTTTCCAAGTACATGTATAAGAAAGAATAAAAAGAAAGAAAGAAAGAAACCTTAGAAATAGTAATATATTAACATAACAGTATCGTTCAACCCTATCTCACTCTTAAGTTCTTAATGAGAAATAGTATTGAACCACATGAAGATGAGAAATCTAATGAACCAATCCATAAAAAACAGAGGAATATAATACGAGGCACCAATGGCGGACCTAAGTCACTGCATGTGTGTACAAGTGCACACATAAATTTTTTGGAGAAAAAAATAATAAAATATATCTTGGGTCATCAACAAAAATTATAGAACCCAATTTAATCTCTTAAAAAAAAGTCGACTCGTGATCCCTTTAAATTCCAAAATAGTCTCATGTTAGTCCTTTTGAGAGATTAATATGAGTCTTTTTGAATTTTAGAGACCATGATTTTGATTATCTGAATCTATTTTTGAATTCTGAGGGATCACAAGTAGACTTTTTTTCCTAAGAGATTAAATTGAGACCCGTAATTTTTATTGAGGACCCAAAATGTTCTATTGTAACAGTTTAATTGACTCTTGATTATTTTTTTATATTAAGTTAAAATTTTCTTTTTCTTTTTTTTGTTTATACTCTTTTGTATTTTAATATATTTAAAATTTTCTTAAATTTTTTTTTTATTCTTTTATTTTAAATGTGCAGCATTAAAAAAAAAATTCTAGGTTCGCTGTTGAAACAATTAGCTGGAAAAACACTTTTCCATCTATAAGACCATATGGAACAGCACCATAATACCGTGAATCAAAGGAGTGACGTTTGTTATATATCATTTTGAATCTAAACATGCCGCTTTGGCACCTACGGAAAAAAGATATAAGTTGAGCAACAAAGCAAACTTATCAACAGAAATTTAAAAAAATAAGCAATAATAGTTATAATAATTAATGAAGGGAGAGAAAGCTAAGAAACCTTCAAAAGATGAATTCCAAGCAGAGAAAGAAAGAGAGCATGGGAAAAATATAAGATAACCAAGTAATAAGTTAATAGCTAATTTTTTTATAAAAATAATTAATTATAATGTGTTAGAACTGAGAGGGTAAGCCTGAAGCAGTTATAAAATTGCTCCTTTGTAACTGAAAAGTCACGAGTTCTAATAGAGAAATAATCTCTTTACAAATATGTAAAAATAAAGCTACATACAATAATTGTCTTCACCACTATCATCCTTAATCGGGGTTTAAGAGAGTGGTTTTACAATGTGTCAAACTGGGATATACAGATTTTCAATACTCCTCCTGCAGGATGTAGAGAAAGATTTCTTCAAGATTTTAGGGGAGTAGCCTTTCTTCGTTTAGTTTTAGTCCAGTTTTATTTCCTCTTTGTATTGCAAAAAAAAAAAAAAAAAAAAAATCAGCAAAGGGAATCAGATTGGAATGAATCTCTGATCAAAATGACATGGATCATAGTAAACACAAGTAATTAAGTATTGCATACTAAAAAAGATTACACTCTAACAATTTTTTTAAGAGAAATAAATAATCATATTAGCCAAAAGCATAGTGAAATTTCTAGTAACAAAACCAGTCATTATAAGCTAATAACTAATCTTTTACCACAACTGTTACAAAAAATGATGAGGATGACAAAGTGGGCAAAACAGACAAATGCATACCATCAAGACTAATTTGAAATAATAATGGGGCTGCTATGTGACACCTTACAAATCACCTGATATGAAACTGTACCTTATATTCTATATATGTGGAAGTAGAAAATTGCTCTAAACATTCTTTTTGTTCAACATATTCTTTCATAGAAAATGAGTCTAAATGGGACATGACATACCAGTAATCTTTTGATAAAACAATCAAGTGAGTACTTTTTCCCAATTATTTACTTATATACTAAAAACTTTCCATCTATATTCATGAAAAATAATAATAATTTCGCATTAAGTTCAATTTTCATATTTTCTTATCTGACATGAAAAAGTATCAAGTAGGCATATTTTCACAATCATGTACCGCAAAAAATATAACGAGAATGCCCAACCGCAAAATACAGAGGGGGACATAACTACAGCCCATTCGTTGATAGGGTCATGAACTCGGCATTCTCGCCGGGATATAAGAAGTCTGACGTGCCGAAATACAATGGCAGTCAGGACCCAGAGGCTCACCTGGAGGCATTCAAGACTGAGATGTTTATTAAAGGAATAAATAGACCTATCGTTGCTCGAATTTTTGCGTCCACTTTAATAAGACCGGCCATGACCTGGTTCACCAAGTTGCTTAAGAATTCAATTAATTTGATGAAGGACTTTGCACAGACATTTTCGCTTAATTTTGCCACTAGTAAGGCACACCCAATGCTGGCATATGCCTTAGGTGCAGTTCGGCAAAAAGAAGGAGAAACATTGCGCAGTTATCTGGATCGCTTCAAGGAGGCCTCACTCAAGGTACGAAACTTAAACGAGAACGTGCATCTACACTTGATCATTGCCGGGCTGGATGGAGAGTTCCCTCTAGCCAAATCGATATATAAGAATCCAATCAATGACCTTGAGGAATTTAGAAGAAGGTCAGACAAGTACTTGGACGTGGATGAGATGGAAATAGCCTACACAGTCACTAAAACGGAGGGGAGGGGCCGGAGCCCTCATCGTCAGAGCTCAGATAGAAAAAATAAAGACAAAGATTAGCAGGGGTCTAAGAAGGCGGTCGAATCTCGCTCAAGAGTGTCAGAAGAGCATTTCTCAAGAGCTAAGTTTGATAGTTATGCCCTTTGAACGAGTCCAGATCTCGGATTTGGAGAAAGGTCGCCTAAACCGAGCTTCAAAATGTTGAGAGGCCAAAGGCCATTAGGAACAAGGGTGGACTTGATCGCTCCAAATACTGTGCATTCCATGATGGCCACGAACATACCACAGATGAATATTGGGACCTCTGAGATGCCACAGGAAAACACATCAGAGAAGGAAAGTTGAAACAATACCTCATACGTACTCAAGGTTGGATGAACGAAAAGCGTAGGCAGGAAGCAGTAGCAGGAGCCTAAGTCCAAAGAAAGATAATAGGAGAAGAGACCGCGATAGAGATGACAAAGGCAAAGGCAAAAAAGCCGAAGCTAAAGATGGTGAGTTCCAGGAACCTGAATTTAACTGTAACGTGATAAGCGATGCTCTTGGAGGTGGTGGAAACACAACTAGTGCAAGGAGAAGATACCTGAAATAGGTCATGTCGGTAAGAGATAGACCAATTTTCAAGAAAAATTAAGGAATTTCATAAGCCCGGTTTAAGCCAGAGGCAACATACCAAACTCAGTGTCCAAATCGGTCCCGAATTTGTTAATAATCCGGTTCAAGTCAAAAATCACATGATCATATACATACTTCATCAATGTATTGAAAGCTTTTCGCTCTGCATCGATGAGCGGTGACTCAGGGGTGGAATAATCCTTAGGCTCCTTATGATAATGTAGTCGGAGCCAATAAAAGGGGAACCTAGTCAACAACCTCCCGTCTTAGTTCACCTCGGCAACAAACTAGGGTTGGCAGTCCAGGTGATATGCTACTTTGAAAAATTGATCCTTAAACTTTTTGAAGGACTGTGTAAACTCACAGAAGATTCCATGGAAGGCTACACTACAGAGGATAACCCAACATTTCCTCTCCTTAACCTCAGACCCTGTCCGAGAGGTATACACCTTGAACAAGTAGGGAAAGAGGGAGACGATGCACGAAATGCCGATATACGTGCATACCAGCTCGAAACCCTGAATGAAGGCCCAAGAATTAGGGTGGAGTTGGGTCGGAGCGATGCCAAGGCGCTTCAACATAGCCATCTGGAACTCGAAAAGGGAGAATCGAATTCCCACCTTGGTAATTAAATCTCGGTAGCAGAAGAAAAATGGGGCTCGTCCTTAGCCGGCTCTACACACACTGGCTCGTCTTCATCCATAGGAATAAGATCCACCCGACAGTGTTCCCAACAGGGAGCTCAGCGATTTCCGCTGCCGACATACGGGATCGTATATTGAGAAATGCCAATAAGACCCAGGAGTATTCATCATGATCCTCGGCCAAGGCTTTGCCATCGATGACCTGGAACAAGAAAACTCAAGTCAGCATAAGAAGTAGATACATCCAAGCTCCTTGAATCCAAGCTAAGCTCTAAAGGGTCAAATTCAGTAAAAGATAAGTTAAAAGACTAGTCCGTAATTTCATTGGATGAACCAGATCCCAGCTAAACAGGAACCCAAAACTGGAATATTTAAAGGAGTTGTCTCTTCCATTCTCACCGCCAAAGGGCTAATAGACCTGCCTAAGGTCACGGACTACGACGAAGCTGACCCCGGCCAGTGAGGAAGCATGACCTCGGCCATGAGGCCAATTTGGCCGAGGTACTGAAGCTTGCAAAGACTTTCCTCAGCTTGATGACGCGGGTCAACCTTGTCCTTGTTCAGAGGAGACGAATCGCCTTTTACTTCCTCTGCCATAGTAACCACGAAGGAGCAACTGTAGTTTCTGCTCTTCGGTACAATCAACTTCGTAAAACCAATACTTTATCCCGGAGGGCATTTTAGAAAGACCGCTTCTAGAGCCTCACCTCGAACATCATCACCTCGGTTGGGTTCCATACCAATACCTTGATGACAGCTATTCACCTAAGACAAGGAAGTCACTCCCTTTTTTTACAGGCCCACTAATGATGGATTTCCTCTACTATTCCTAGTTCAAAGGGAAGGGGAAGGGGCTAATAAACCCAAAAGCCCTAATCCTTGAAAAATCATCAAGAATACTTTGAGTCCCTCAAATCATTAGAAAAAAACAAAAATAAACTTCCAAATGAAACAACTAGTAGACAATACAAAAGGGAAGTGAGTGTTTGAGAACACCTGTTTTGGGGGAAGACAATAACAACCGTAGAAGAACTGATGGCCAAGTTTCAAGCAAGAACACCTGTTTTTAGATAATAATTTATCTGAGTAATTATGTAAAGGAGTATTGTAAATCAATCCAAAGTAAGAAGTGAGGATCATAAGGTGAGTGCACTCTAGCTACAATGTTTTCTCACATTTACAAAAATCAATCTTTGTTCTTTTTCTTATAAACAAAAATTGAAAAATACGTTTTACTTTTAATTCTTATTATTCTCAAATCCACAACAATTTTCACACACATATTTGAACTCTTCAGTCTTAAAAAGAACAATTATTGATATACGATCACAATCCCTGTGGAGACGAACTTTTCTTATCATTATATTACTTGTGCGATCGGTACACTTGCCGGCGAGCATCAAGTTTTTGGCGCCGTTGCCGGAGATTGGCGTTTCTTATATCAGTTAATTTTGATTTTTAAGATTGGATTTTTTTTATTTTTTTTATTTTTGATTTTTGTGGGATATTTGAACAGTGCTACTAATCTCTTTTCTGAGTTGTATGCGAGGTAAATTACCAGAATTTCCACTTGACTTGGAGATTACAAAAACAGAAAAGAGAAACAGAAAACTTGCTCGGAAGAAGCTTTCATTCAACGAGTTAGGAATTCTGTCTGAAGAAGCACACACCATGGCAGAAAATAATGAAGTAGACAATCCACTCATGGATACCATTCTGACTCCATCATTCAACAGGCCCAATTCGAGTATTATTCATCCTGAAGTTGGCAACAATAATTGGGAGCTCAAGTCTGCTAATATTCAATTGGTGGAGAGAGCTCAGTTTGGTGGAGAGATGATGAAGACCCTCATCGGTTCATAGACAGATTTCTGATGATCTGTGACTCGACTAAACATCCTCAGGTTTCCAATGACGCAGTCCAGCTGAGAATGTTTCCTTTTGCTATTAAAGGAAAGGCTTTGAATGGTTGGAAAGGTAGCCTGCGATAAGTATTCCCTCATGGGAAAATTTATCAAACAAGTTCTTTGCTGAGTTCTTCTCGATGGAAAGATACAATCAGATGGTGAATGACATCACCAATTTCACTCAAGCTGAGGGTGAAACTATATGTGCAGCATGGAACCGATTTAAAGATATAATGAGGAGATGTCGTCATTATCCCGTGACCAATGGTGATCAGGTCCGAATCTTCTTTAACGGTTGCAAACCTGAAATCCGGATGGTGCTGAATGGTGCAGCAGGTGGAAGTATTAAATCAATGAGAACAAATGAGACTCTTGAGTTGATTGAAAGAATGGCTGCCAACGAAAATGAAGGGTTGACAGCCAAGCCTAAGAGAGGTATTATTCACTTAGACAACAATGATGCGGTATTGGCTGAAAATAAATTGTTATCACAACAAAAGGCGAATTTGACATCGAGGCTTGATAAGATGCAGCTCTCTAGTGTCCAAGCTCAAGCTGCTTCAGTTGTTTGCGAGTACTGCAAGGACAATCATGAATCTAATGAATGTCCTTCCTTGTTATCTGCCGATCCTTCCCAACAAGTGCATGTAAATGGCGTGTGGTATGATCAGAGACCCCCACCACAAAATGTTCCAAGGAATCAGAATTTTCCTTCTGGAAACAATAACTTCCAAAGGAGGGTGCAGGGTACTGATCTTGATTTCAAGTCCAATAATTATTTACAACCACCACCAGTTCAGCCTATGGAACCTTCTGATTTAGAGAAGCTAGTGGGACAGATGGCCCAACATTCTAATGCTTTTATGGAAGAGACTCGGGCAAACACCAGGAATACACAGGCTTCTATCAGAAATTTGGAGAATCAAATTGGCCAGATAGCTAAACAAATGGCTAAAAGAGCTCCAGGCACTTTTCCTAGCAATACAGTTACTAATCCAAGGAGGATTGTATGGCTATCACTACTAGAAGTGGTAAAGTGGTAGCAGCTCCAACAAAGCCAAACACAAATGTGGAAGCTAATGAAAAGGTTAAGGAGCCAGAAAAAGAGGTGGTGATTCCTTCTGATGTTGAGAAACCTGTTCAGAAAGGTAAAGAAGAGGAGCTACCAATTATTGCTGAAAAGAAAAAATTTGAGCTGAATCCGGAATATGTGAGAGCTATGGCACCTTATCCAGAACGATTCAAGAAAGATGCTCAAAAGCAGCAATATGCAAGATTTCTTGATATCTTCAAGAAGTTGCATGTAAACATACCTTTTATTAAAGCTTTGGCTAACATGCCCAATTATGCCAAGTTTATGAAGGACTTGTTATCAAGAAAACATAAGCTACAAGAATGCCAGACGGTGACACTCACTGAGGAGTGTAGTGCTATTATTACAAAGAAGTTCCCGCCTAAGCGTCATGATTCAGGGAGATTCAACATTCCAATTGCTATTGGTGATACTGATGTCGGCAAAGCCTTGTGTGATCTTGGGGCAAGCATAAATCTGATGCCCTTGTCCGTGTATAAATCGTTGGGGATATCTGAGCTTAAACCTACTAAGGTTTCCTTGCAACTCGCTGACAAATCTTTTAGGAAACCTAGTGGTATAATTGAAGATGTTCTTGTGAAAGTGGACAAGTTCATCTTTCCGGCAGATTTTATGGTGTTGGACATGAAAGGGGGAACTGAGATGCCTCTTTCACTGGGTAGACCTTTCTTGGCCACTGCTCGGGCCATGATTGATGTTGAGAACAGAAAGCTTGAGTTAAGGATGAATGATGAGACCATCACCATCAACGTTTTTGACTCTATGAAACAATCTTCTGACAATCTTTGTTTTAAACTTGATGTTTTAGAGCAGGTGGGGAAAGAAGAAAAATCTTCTAGTCAAGAGATTGATGAAGAACTTGAGGCGCATGAGAGTGTTCCTGTTAAGAAAGGAAAGAATGTAGCGTTTGAAGTTCTTAAAGAAAAGAATGATTCTGACAAAGAAGATGGTGCCCCAAAAATAGAGTTGAAGGAGCTTCCTGAAACTCTGCAATATACCTTCTTGGGTAATAAGGAGGCGGTGATTGAAGTATTGAAGGAACATGAGACTGCCATAGGGTGGTCTATTTCTGATTTGAAAGATAAAGATCCCTCTTCCTGTACCCACAAAATTCTTAATAAGGATGATGACAAAAATATGAGGAAACCTCAAGGGAGGTATCATTCTACAATGAAGAAGGTAATGAGAAAAGAAGTGGTGAAACTCTTTGATACTGGTTGGAGGATGTGTGCGGATCACCGGAAGTTGAAGGCCACAAAAAGGAGAATCTTTGACAAGAGACACCGAGACTCTATCTCTCAGAAAAACCAATACTTCAAAGAGTTCCTCACATGGCTTCATGGTTTGAACGAAATCTGGGAATAATGGTCTCATGCACCAAGGCATCCAGTACCACCAGATCTTCCATTTGCTGAGTCATCCCATGCTGCTAAGGGGGATGACATAGAGGATTGATTAAATCTCCTTGCTGTCGGAGATTTAATGTATATTAATTTATTTTTCTTTTTAGTACGTTGCTGTTTTATCATGACCATAGGTTATTGTTAGGGTCACTTTGTTGTTTTAAGTTGGTATATTTCCCAAACATTCTGATGCTTTATTGTGTGCATTATAGTTTATCCTATATGTCACAGTTTGTTCCATGGTGCAGGTTTATCATCCATCTTTTGGTTTGACTATTGCTAGGCACAACAATTCTTTAAATCTAGGAATGGTGGGCTTTTGGAAAGCACCTTGGAACTGCACTTCTTTTATCAGGGGAGATATTCTAAACTCTTTTATTGTCTTTATTTTATTTTAGTTAGTATTTTGTGTTGCTCTTTATTTTTATCTTGAAAAAAAAATATTGATCTGTTTTTCAAGCAATTCTCAGGTTTGAATGTGCTTTTCTAGTTAATGTGCTTGACTGAATTTCTGAAAATATGTTGTATGACATTCTGGCATGACATTGCATAGGTATAATTGGATTACATGATTGCTCGTTTGTCTGAACTGATGTTGTGAAATTCTGATAATGTCTGAAGTCAATTTTCTTGAGTCTATATTGATACCATAGCTGTGAGGTTTGAGCTTAAACACTGAATTTTCTTGTTGAGAGACCTCACTGTTGTAACACTCTAGAACTTGATCTGTTTCTCTGTTATGCATGCATTGGTTGATATGATAAAGGCATTTTGTTCTTGTTAGCTATTGGCCAAAATAGCCCACCTGAATGAATTTTTCCATTGCTAGCCCCCTTGAGCCTGAACTTATTTTGTTGATGAATGACCTGTGGCCTGATTGATGGCTTAGCCTATATCCATGTGACTTACCTTGATTGAGATTGAATCACTGATGTGTTGAAAATAAAATAAAGAAATTGAGGTAAGCTCCACAAAGGTTAAGTAATTAGAGGATGTAAATTTCATATGTGCCCTTAAAACAAAGGGAGAAAAAAAAAGGAAAAAACAAGAAAAAGGAAAAGAATGAATGTGCATAAAAGGTGGCTGAAAGGAATTAATTCCCGAAATTCTGTGGGAATGTAGTGGAGCAAAACCATTGAGTTGAATGGGTTAAAGAGAAATAATATCAATTTTTCAATATCATTGTTGTTTGAGCTACTGTCCATATATTCCTACCCTTTAACCCGACCAAGTTACAACCTGTGAAGTCCTTTTGATCAATTGCTGCATGTGTTTGATTCTTCATTTTTAAGAATTTTTGAGAATTGATCATGCCTATGGTAGTGTTATAGCTGTGATTGATTGAGTGCTCATGATACCCTTAAACACTGAGTGTTGAGTGGACATTATTTATCTGTGTGAGCGGTAATCAATGTAGACTTGTATCTTTAAGAAGCTGATGACATTATTGCAAGTTTATGATATTGGGTCAGGCATGCATGGCATATTGTGTCTGAGAGTATCTATGGATTGTTATGTTGGATTAATTGAATATGTCCTGGATTGAGTCTTGTACATTGCTGGGGACATCAACGTTTAAATCTGGGAATGATTTGATGTGCCTCTGGCAATTGTAGTTTTTCAAGTGAAATTGATAAGAATTGAGTCATAAAAGAGCAACTTATATACATATTTGCTTATTATTTTGATTCATTTATGTCAATGATATTTCTCACCTATTGATTGTGTTTATACAGGTAAAAGAAGTAAAAATTACAAAGTTATAAAAAGCCTATTGACGCGACTTCATACGGGTGTAGCACAGTACAAATTCCAGCAACATGGCGTGGAATGGCGGCACACTGGCGCACACCCGCGCCAATTTATGAACTTTGCAGCGGTGCTTTGCAAGTGGCACCAACTGGCGTCGGTTTTGGAGAAGTGCACTTTTTGGGCAGAGAAGTGGCGCCCAATGGCGCCGAAGTTGGCGCAGGTTTTTGAAGTTGCAATTTTGGCAGAGGCATGGCACCCAGTGGCGCCAGTTTCCGAGGAAGCTTGTCCGACTTTTACAAATTGACAGAAGCGTGGCGCGAAGTGGCCCCACACCGGCGCCAACTGGCGCCGGTTTGCAGGAAAAACACACCGTGTTGTCAGAAGGTATTTTTGGAAGAAGGAAAAGAGGTGTATAAATAGGATTCCTTTACAGAATTAGGGATAGGAGACTAATTCTATTGAAGAGAGACGACGGTAGTGCTCAGAGAGGATTCTGGAGATCAAGTTCATCTTCTTCTTCTTCTTGTAATTTACCAGGTTTTATGAATATTGAATATTTAGCCATGATAATGGTTGGCTAGTTTAGTTTTTTTTTGTATTTAGGGTCACAAACCCTATGTGAACCCTTGTTACGACAGATTGATTTATGGTTTTTTGTTTATATAATTATCTTTATCTTTACCTTGTTCGTAATTATATCTTCTTTATTGGAATTGATCAATCTAATAGTTGAGGACAGTTTGAGGGTTAGAACCCTAGATAGGAATATTGGGGTTTTAGTCTTGAAAGGGGGTAAGATAACAATTTATATGCATGCTAGGAATAGATGTATATTTAATTACAGATACTTAAATTATTGGGTTCTTTGCTTAATGCCATGAGAAACATTGCAAGGAATTGGGGTTTCAATTGGGATTAAAGGGTTAACCTTGCAAGGAATTGAGGGTTAACTATTAATGTTTTTAGATAATAATTTATCTGAGTAATTATATAAAGGAGTATTGTAAATCAATCCAAAGTAAGAAGTGAGGATCATAAGATGAGTGCACTCTAGCTACAATGCTTTCTCACATTTACAAAAATCTATCTTTGTTCTTTTTCTTATAAACAAAAATTCAAAAATACGTTTTACTTCTAATTCTTATTATTCTCAAATCCACAACAATTTTCACACACATATTTGAACTCTTCAGTCTTAAAAGGAACAATTATTGATATACGATCACAATCCCTGTGGAGACGAACTTTTCTTATCATTATATTACTTGTGCGATCGGTGTAACACCCCAAATGTAAATACATATAGGGTGCACCTTCATCATGCATTCAATGCGCGGAAGTCTAAATTTAAACTTTACGAATGCAAATATCAGAGTGCGGAATGGAAACACATAACCATACTTATTCCATATAAAATTAAAAGCGTTAAAACGTCAATACAAAATAAATAACACTAAACATTATTTAATGTAATCCCAAAAAGATTAACTAATCATAAATAAAAACATAATTTATGCCGCATCATAAGCCCAGTCATAATGTGGTTGTGGTTCCTCTAGCCATTGTGTACTTAGTGCTTCATCGAAATCATAATATGGAAAAGCTTCTATTAATAATTTCATAGCCTCAGTCCATAGGCCTCTATCTGTTAGATCCTTTAGTTTCTCTTCCCAGGTAGGTGGAGTTTCTTTTTCTTTACGTACCAGTCTCTTACCCTTTCTTTCCCACATAACTTTCTTATTACTTTCTTTCATCTTTTCCTGAAATGGGTGGTCAAGGGGGGTGAGATTTTGGGGAAAATCTCAGTAAGGTTCACAGCTGGAGCATTCTCCAACTATGACGCTTACTCCTGCAACAGTTTATAATAACAATACAAAATGGAACATTTAACATCATCATATAAAAATATCATGCCATCATCATCATCATCATATTCCTGCCGGCTTTTACGGACTTACGGAGATACCCAGAGTCCTCGTCAGGTTGCAACTGGAGTATCAGTGCACAGGCCAACATTTAATAGCATGGTTTTAAGTTTCAAAAATATCATAATCACATAATGTAAAGCACTATAAACATATTGCAGTCAGACCATAACTTATCATAGTTTCATAATGGTGGCATACATAGAGAGATTACTTCAACAACTGTAAACACTTACAGTGCTTGTCGTTCTTTACTTGTATACTTTCAACTTTTGATCTCTTTACTTGCCTGTTTGCTCCCTTGACTCCCTAACATCATCATATCATCTTTTAGTAACTTATATAACATTCAACATTTGTGTTTTATCCATGTATAGGTCTCGGCTTTGCAGGTTTAATTACCTAGAGGAGTTGTTTTGCTTACTTACCCACTTGTGTAGGTTTTAGGACATTATTAGGTCATCATAACACTTAATAGAATTATTAAAGATTTCATTCTAGGCATGTATAGGTTCGGCCACCATAGATAAACATCTAGGAATATAATTTTTAAAAAATTATATTATTAACTTAACATGGTTAGATCCTTTCAACATTAATCAAATAAAACCTCTTTTAGCTACATACCATTCAGCCTTATTGCCCTAAAATACCTAAGGGATTACTTCTAAAACATGCTTCTAACATTATTGATAATTTATCATATTTAAATCCTAGAGCATCATTCAAAACATCATCTCATATATTCGGCCAACTAAGGTTATGATCATGCAAAATTGATTTAGAACCTAGGCTACTAAACATGCTAATCTAACATCATCATTTCATCATCTTTCATATCATTTAAACATATCTTCATGCTTATAATTATCATACATGGTTCGGCCTTCTAGGGATCATATACTTAGGATATCATTTTCATGCTTTTACATGTCATTCCTAACCAAGAAGGTTCATAGGCTTACCTTTGATGATGATCAACGACTTAAGGAAACACTTCTTGACCTTTGACTACTTTGAATCTTCTTGAATGAACTTCCTTCCTCCTTGAACATACAAGGCCGCAAGCTTAAAGAGAGGAGAAGAGGGATTTTCTTGCTTAGAGATGAAGGGTTCTTTGGTGGAATTGTTAGGAAGAAGGACTAAGATCCAGGCTTGTATTTGATCTTGGAACAATTAGGTATTTCTCACTAACACACTCACCATTTCGAAGCATTCATGGACTTCACAAAATGAGCTAAACTCTTTGTTCTTTCCTTTGGTAGTGCCGCGGCTATAGAGGGAA